CCCATTCCCCCTCCTCCCCCTCCTCCCTCCTCCTTGCTCCCCGCAGGTCCTCCTGGACCCGTCCCGGTTTGGAGCGTACAGGCGAGCTCTGCGCCTGCCTCTGTGGCCAGAAGAGGGGCTGGAGAACAGGCAGAATTTTTTTTTTTTTGATGCTCTCGATTTGAATACTGTTTTGCCTAAAATCTAGCAAACTTGAACATCTGGATCTCGGCTCTGAACTTAACAGCTCTTTATTGTCACTTTCTGAGTTGGTTACTTTTCTGGCCCTTGAGTAAAATGATAAATCGTGGAGCCAATATACTGATCAAACCTCAGTGCGGTCTGGCTTTGCCTGGTGCCTTTGCTTCCTCCCTTCACCTCCGCTGTTTCTGACCCTGGTCACGAGGTTCAAACCACTGAAAGAGTGGGAGGAATCCAGTTTTAACTAAAATTGACACTTTTAACAAATGCTCCTCGGCCCTGAGTGCTGGGCTGGGTGTGCCTCCCGAGGGGAGGAGCAGTGTCTTGCTCAGCTGGAGGTGTGCCTCCACCCATCTGTTATTCAAGCTTCTTACTAAAACACGTTCTGAAATTCTACCTTCAAAATCACTCACGTGCACATGTAACTGTAGATGTTGGCATGCTCCCCCCAGATACACTGAATTCCAGGGCTCTCTGGCTTTTTCCAGAAGCAGCTGGACTCCAGAGGGAGGAGTAGGCCCTGCCTAGAAGATTTAAATTATCCACTGATAAGATGATGCTTGATAGATTTTTGATACCCCTTCCTTCCAAACATCAGAGGTCAGAATTAGATTTTAAAAAGACAGAACAGAAAACCTGCTTGAGTTTCACATCTTTGTGCGCTCAGATTCTTCATTTAAGTTGAATTAAAAAAAAAAAAATGTACCAACCACGTATTTTGCACACAGTCCCCACAGTTTACCCCCTTTATTCCCTTTCCAATAGTCCCTCTCCTTTTAACCTCTGACAGGAGAAGTGGAGGGCAGATCAGGCCAAGAAGGGTGGGCAGGACAGGAAAGAGCACTGCCCAGGGATGCACAGAAACCTGTGGCAGGTCAGGGCTAGTGGTCTTGGGGAGGCGCAGTCAATGGCGGAGGGGCTAAGCAGCTTTGATGAAGTCTAGTTATCTTGAGAAGGGCCTTGGTAAGTCAGTACTCAGCACCTTTGGTATGTCTGTCCAGTGGGAGGTGCTGTTCCTTAGGGTAAAAACTGTCAGAGCTCAAAAAGCTGTCATCAGAACACCCACAGCCTCACTAAGATGATGGCTGCCCACGGTCCTCAAACTCATTGTCAACAGAAGATTTGGTGGCTGAAGAACAGGTCCTGGGAATCTGATGTCTGAGCCTGAGCCCTGAGCCCTCCATCTGGGATTCTAGACAGGGAGCCAGCAGGGGACTGAGGAGCCTCCTCCCAGGCATTGCCTGGCACAGATGTCAACCAGACTCACCCGGCCCAGAACAAGACCTCAGGCCACTGGAGGGGCAGTGAGAACCTCTGCAGGGCAGTTGTCTCTCTAGCCAGCCACAGTGGATGGTCCAGGCCCAGCAGTGGGAGACAAAGCAAAGGCTGGAGGGCTGTTTATTTGTACCAAGGAATGGAATGAAAATGAACTTCAAAGAGAGGGAACGTCCATCTCCCCTCTGCTGTCTGAACCCCATGTAGCCAGGGGCCACTGTGCCCCCCCCAGTGATGTGCTCCAGGGACACCACGGATAATGGGGTAGCCAGATGTGAAGGGGCTTTTGCAACTCAGAGGTAGATATCTCTGAAGAAAGGCCAGAATTAAAAAGGGGAAGGATTGGGGCTGGAGCGATGGCTCAGCAGTTAAGAACACTGGTCGTTCTTGCAGAAGACCCAGGTTTGAATCCTAGCACCCACATGGCAGCTAACAACTGTCCATAATTCCAGTCCCAGGGGATCCAACAGTCTCTTCTGACCTCCACAGGCATTGCACTACACAGGTGCACTTACCTACATGCAGGCAATACATGCATACACATAAAATAAAAATAAATTTTTTTTTAAAGTTAAAAAGGGGGGGAAGGATGACAGATAATCCTTGATAGCTGGTCAAAATTCTAGCTGACAGTTCTTTATAGATGAGAAGGGAGTTTACAAAGGCTTGAAAACCTATAGTACTAGAGCTGGAGAGATGGCTCAGTGGTTAAGAACACTGGCCGCGCTTACAGAGGACCTGGGTTTGGTTCCCAGCATCCACATGGCAGCTAACAACCATCTGTAACTCCAGTTCCAGGGGATCTGACACTCTCTTCTGGCCTCTGCAGGAATTGCAGGCAGACAGTGCACCTACATACATGCAGGCAGAACACACTTACACATAAAATAAAAAACAAAAGAAAATTTATAATACTGGTGGAGAAAGGGTTAGTCAATAAAACACGGAGGATTGATTATATACCCAGAATGAACATGGCTACCCAGAACTAAATAATTTGTTTTAAATCCCAGGACTAAGTAATTTGACTTACTATTTGTTCTGGTTTGTTTCTTCATTGCTGTGACAGAATACTCTGACCACTACCAACTTGGGGAGGAAAGGGTTTATTTAGCTTATATCTCCCAGGTCACAGTTCATCAGGGAGCCCAAGGTAGGAACTCAGGGCAGGAACCTGGAGGCAGGAGCTGGAGCGCAGGCCATGGAGGAACGCTGCTTACTGGCTTACTCCTCTAGCCCCTGCTCAGCCTGCTTTCTTATGCAACACAGGCCCACCTGCCCAGGGGTGGCACCACCCGCAGTGGACTAGGCCCTCCCACATCACTCATCAAGAAGATGCCCCTCAGACATGGCCACAGGCCAGTCCAATAGAGGCAGTTCCCCAATTGAGGCTCCCTCAACCCAGGTGTGTCAAGTTGACACTAAAGCTATCCAGCACACTATTCAAATATCTCAAAAATTTCAGAGCCCAGTGGCAGCTAGTCTGGTTGTAACTAGAACAATAGTTCAAGCAAGTTCAAACTTTAAGCTGTTCTAGATGACTTTAGTTCCAAAGTGTGGGTCATTTAGGAAGGAATTAAACCTATAGCACCATCTCTGCTGGGCAAAGGCATTTACTAGTCAATCACAGACCTGCCAATCAACTCAGGGCTATCAGCACTGAGTATGATAGAGAAGTCAGAGATACCGTGGTTGGCAGAAATCAAAGTGCATGCTTACCCAGCGGCCAGAGACCGGCAGGAGCTGGGCATGCTCTGAGACTAAGCCTCGAACAGGCAAAACCCAGGCTCACTGTTAAAGTACATAGCTATTTGTCCTTTATTTGTGTCATTTCAAAAATGATGATTATGTTAACTAGCTTTCCATTACTGTGACAAAATACTCGAAGTAACCTCTTATAAAGAGGAAGGTTTATTTGGGCTCATGCCTTCAGAGGTTTCAGTCCATGGTCTTTTGAGGCCATGGCATGGTATTATATATTACATCAGGGAGAAGTGAAGTGAAGCCATTCGCCTCTGGGCAGCCAGTTAGCAGAGAAAGGAGCCAGGGTTCCAGTATCTGCTTCAGGAGCTCACCCTCAGTGACCTAACTTCCTTCAGTAGGCCCTGCCTCCTGGAGGCTCCACCACCTCCCATTGGTGTCACAGGCTGGCAGTCAGATGCTCAGCATGTGGGCCTTTGGGGACATTTAAGAGCCAGCCATACCAAGTATCAAAATATCTTTTCATATTACAGAGCATAAAGCCAACTGTCTTAGTTTTGTTTCTGTTGTTATAAAATACCCCGACAACAGCGATGTGGGGAGACAGGCGCTCTTTTCCACCACAGTTCCAGGCTACAGTCCGTCGGTATAGGGAAGTCAGGGTGGTGAGGACTCCCGTGAAGCCACTAGTTACATTACGTCCATAGTCACGAGCAGAGAGCTGTGAGTTAAAGCATGCTTGCTCTCTGGTCAGTTTCTCCACAGAGTGTAGGATCCCCTGTCCAGAGAATGATGCTGCGTACAGGGGGCAGGCCTTCCCCCCTCAGGTAATGTAATTACCCCGTAGATCCCTTACAGGGCAACTTGACCGTCCAGGTCCAGGCCAATTCTTCAGAAACTCCCTTCCCAGGTGATTCTAGATGGGGGCGGGGCTCTGTCCTCAGCTCCCTAGCCCACTTCCATTCTTGGGTGCCTTTCCCCTCTTGATCAGTTCTCTCTCCTATTCTGTGCCTAATTTGAAAGGCAGGACTTTCATCTTGGCGGCTGCTGGGAGTTTTACCTCACCTGTTCTGTGTTTCCTTTTAAACTCACATAATCTTGTCCTTGAACTGCCAAAACAACAACAAAACCTTTATACCAACCATTTCAACGTGAAGATTTCAATGACATTTGGAACACTCACAGTGCGGTACAGCCACCGCCTCTGAAAACATTTCACTACCCAAATGAAAGTTCTAAGCGCACCAAGCAGAGGTTTTCCACACTTTCCCCACCCCTGGCAATCATCAGTCTGCCTTCCATCTTCCTGGATTCACCTTTTCTGGATTATTTTCTTTAAGTGGAATCATACCAGACATGATTTTTTTTTTTTTTTGCAACTGCCTTCTTTTATTTAACATAAGATTGTTTTCAGGCTCACCAACATTGTATCACGTATCAGAAGTTCATTTTTTATGGCTAAATAAAAGCCATTGTATGGATACACCATAATATATCCACTTAACAGTTGATATTTGAGTTTTTCCTACCTTTGACCTCAGTTAGTAGTACTGTTCCGAATACGTGTGCCTAAGAATTTGAGTAACTGTCAGGGACTAAATCCCTGATGAACAAATAGGGTCACTGAGGAATGGTAGAGATGTGCACTTCCTGCTGCTGCTTGTTCTGGCAGGAAGACCTTGTTCTTTTTGATCTCCAACAAGGTCCCTTCAACAGACCTGGATATCTCAGCTTAGAGA